TCTCAACTTTCTTTTTTCTTTCACTCTTCACGTGCCCCCTTTTACCCCTTTATGGCTCTCTTTTTCTTAGGTGAAAATTGGTACCTAAGAATAAGCAAAAGACTGTTATAGTTTTTAATTGCAACAAACTCTCTCTCTCTCTCAATTTAAGGAAGAAAAATGTCAATAGTATGATTCAAACAAGCGAAAACTGATAATTTGTTGATCATAAAAATAAGTTAATTGATATGCTGTTATATCTTGACCTTTCTAAAGTTAGGTTCTTATCAATGTTATAGCCTACTAAATTATGAGCTAAAATTAATGGTCTGTTGCTTTCTAGTTCACGAGTTGCTTCCCAGGTATAATGGTCAAATTAAGGGCTTAGTGAATAAATGTTTTCATGTTAGTGAGGAAACTGTTGTGAATGAAGCATATTAACGATTTATCTGTTACAAATGGTAACATACTAACATTTTATTTTTTTTATTGAATTTGATCACCGCGTCTTTGTCTCCATTCATTATTCTGAATAACAATCAATTTATGCATATGTATAATATGATGCACTACAGCAAATATTCTTTAGTTGATTTTAGAGTATTGTTTCCACTAATGTTTTGGTTTTCTAGATAAAGAGAGCTCAATTCACAGAATCAAATTGCTGTTCTGCTGCTTTTTGTTATATTCTAAATCAAGTGATTCATTATTTGTAAAATGACAATACGTGGATTGTCTTCGAGGCTTTCTACTGTGAAGACCAAATTCAAGGTATGTTTTGCAATATTTATAATCAGGCCAAGCAGTGGGGGATCCAAGACCCTAAAATCAGGGGATGCAAAGATACAAAGGGTAAAAAAATATAAAATATAGACATTATTAATAATAATTTATTAAAATTGAAAAGATTTATGAAAGTTTAGGGGATTATTTGCTTTCCCTCAACTGTACTGGATCCGCCACTGAGGCCAAGCCAAGATAGTCTTAACAGTGACTTCTTTCTGTCAAAAACTGAAGGATGTTATGACCTTCTCTATATTTACCCTTTTTCTTTCCAATTTTGCAAATTACCGAGGTTTTCATTACCTTAACAATGAAGCATGGTATTTCTATATTTTGAATGTATGAGTTGCTGTTATCACCATTTTCTGGGCAAATCTTAAACTTGCTTAGCATGCGAAGACCAAGGTAAGTGACATTTTGCTTTAACAAGTATAGGAATTATCATGTGTATTGACCCTTAACAAGTAAGACTAATAGGGGATTTGTTATTTCCTGGGAATTTCATTGCTCTGTCTCTCTCCGATCAAGATATTTTCTAGATCATACAAAGTTGTCTTGCACATGCCCTGCTGCTCATACTATTTTCGTTACCCAGAAGGATATTGTTTCTTCAAGGGAATCCATTATTTCCAATTATATATCTTAACAATTAGGAATATCATTATTTTTTTTAAAATAATTTGTATAAATCATGAATTAAAATCATAAATTATAATTAATTGCTGTAAATCAGCTTTTTATTATTTATAATCTTATATGAGTATTACCACTTAATTATTAACTTCTTACCGTGATAAATGTTGCCTTAGCACTAAGGGTTCCTTTATTAGATTAACGGTGTTATTATTCCTTATGCAAAAACTGGAAATAGAAGAATTCTGAAATCTTCAGATTTTGGTGGTATATGAAGCAAACGAAGAGTTCCGTGTACTTAACTGAGTTCAATGCATGAGATGAGGTGTGTTAAAATTCAACATCACACTGAAATAGACTTGTCATTTCTAAAAGAAATGCTTCCTATATTATTGGCACAGGATATTTTACCGAGTTATATTTGAATTTTAGGATATATAGTTTGAACAGTAATTAGAATATTTCCATTAGAAGCACAATGGCTTTCTTTCCACCAACTAAACAAACTTGATCATGAAAACGATGGCTTACAATTTGAAGGTATTGGATACAACATATTTTGCATTAGACATAATATATAGTATGTATTGTAGAAATAATAGCTGTCAAATATCATTTTTTTAATTATTTATTTGATAAAAATAATGTAAGGTTTTCAAACATAAAAAATATTATAGTTTTCAAAAATTTTAATTATTTGTTTGATATTTTTTTTTTCAAATTATATATATGTATATATGTATGCATGCAATTAAAATAAAAAAATATATAAAAAATAATAAATATATATCGGATTAAGAAACATATTTATTTAATATTATTAAAAATTAACTCATATTACCTATTATGAATTCATACTAATAAACTAATTATTGATTGATTGTAGAAAATTTTATAAAAATATAAACTATAAATTTTTATGCTTAATAATATAATAAATTAATATATAAAATAAAATATATTTTTATTATTGATATAATAAAATAATTTTATATTATAAATAAATATTTGTTTATGTGTGTTAATTGAATAATATAATATAATTGAATAGAAAAATACAAAAATATTGATAAAATAGTATTTAAAATTAAGTCAAAATTAATATTCACTTTTGAAATTAAAGAATAGAGATAGAAATAATTATGTTGTAAAAATTTGTTTTTTCTTTGTACTTTATCATTGTGATATTAAAAATAATGTGTTTTTATAGTCCTAAAATGAAGTATAGAATGAGTGGAGAAAAAGAGAGATAAAAAATTGAAAAATACAAAATAAATATAAAAAAAAAGCATGATTAAAAATTTGGCTCATGAATTTTGAGCAAAATATGGTACCATGTACCATCGTCATTTCCTCCTAGGATAAATATGGTAACATAAACATTTCATGGAATGTGCAACAAAAATCCATTCTTCTTTTATGATTTGGTTACTTTATTTCTCCCTTCTAATTTCTTTTAGACAATTGTTTGTGAAATTCTTGTATTTTTAATCTCAAGTGCACAAGTTTATATACACAGTTGTATTATCTTTACAGAGCAAATTAGGTATTGAATTAAACCAAAGATCTGCTATAATTTATTTTCAAGATTGTAGCAATTATTATGGCACAACACTTAATTTTATCTGTATCACCTTCTTTAGATTTTTATGTGCCCTTTTTATAAATATCTCATTCCATGGAGATCAGTTGAACTCAAGATGTGTGCTATTAAAATTCTTCTACATTGGAGGCTGGAAGATTATCCTACGATGATGATGATGATGATGACATCCTGCAACACATGCTGCTCAAAACAAAGCAAATTCAATGCAGTTTCCAACTATAAATGAAATTAGATATGATCCATAAATAAAAATGAGTATTTTCTCTTCATCATTCTTTTTATGTCCATAACTTACTATTTTCTGATTGAACATGCATCAGTAATTTAAGAAAATAAAGGAAAGCCCTTTAGTAAATATGGAAAGGTCTCAAATTTTCAAGGGAAATATTATTTTACAGGCATCTAACTTTGCTCATTTTATAGTAATAAGTAGCAGGTATCCTGCACAATATTATTCGATTTAGGAAAATTTCAAAAGTAAAAATATCTAAAATTAAAAAAGAAATATGCACAATTTATTTAAATAAATAAGAAAACAAGAAGTTTATATTTATACAAAATAATAATAATTTGAGGGTCATAGTTGTTTAATTTTGTCAAATAACAAGCTAATTTATAAGCTATCCAATTGCTTTAGTTAAACATGCACTACATCACAGAAATAAATATTCATATAGCACAAATAAAATATTATAGGAAAATATATTAGCATCAGAATTATCAAGTTAAATATTTGAATAATTAAAAAATTGTGTTTCTTACATACTGTGAATATATTTTATTGTACTCTAATATTTTAATAATTCCTTGCCTGTACCATTTTCTTTTTATTATTACCTCATTTAAATATTTTAACTTTTTTTTTATCTCTTATGTATTTTAAATTTTTTTTATTTCTATACCATAATATTAAAAATCACGTGGTGCACGAATTACTGCATTAGTAAGAATCACAATCTTTGGAATAAAGAAATGTTTACACAAACTTATATTTAAGTTTATATATATGACATTTTTATTGAAGATGTTTCTCTAACATGGTAGGTTGTACAGTTGCAAAACATGAGCCACAAGTATGTCTGGTTAAAGTAAAGAACCGCTACCACAAAAAAGAAATAAAAAAAGGGTTCAATCCAACCAATGGAACTGAATAATATTGAATAACCGTACATGTTACTTTACAATTCGAATATCAACTTCTGTGAATAAGTGGTCACGTGTGTCATACCACAAAAAGTTATTTGTTATATCTAAAGCGTTAAATGGGCACCAATTTTTCTATACAATTATGTGTGAATAGGCTAGAAATTTTTGTTTAAACAATTTAAGTGCGACCATTTACGGGTCAATTGTTTCTTTCTAGAAGGAGTATTAACTTTCTAGAATGAACATGGAAATGAGAAGATGTGAGATAAGCGATTGTGAGTGACACGCACAGTTATTACTAGAAGATTATCTTAATTTCAATGATCGTAACTTTGAAGTTTGAATGCGCAAAACCTGCAACAGCCCACTCGTCTAGTTTGCTAGTCCAGATCATGGTGCCACTGCAGAACACAGACTTTAATGTATTTTAATTCTTAATTAAAATTTATTAAACATTATAAAAAATTAAATTAAGAATCATATTTATATTTTTGATAAATTTTGGGAGATAATTAAAAAAATATATATAGTTAGATTTAACTGTGGAAAAAGCCTAATAATCGGCATAGATACGGATGCAATTAAGAAAAAGATTGGACGATGAAGTTTCAAATCATCAAATAATTAAATAATAATAAATACAAAATAAAAAAACAAAACAAAACAGAATATGTATAAAATAGAAGGGTCAGAGTCAAGGAGTTGTTGATCTTGAAAGTCATTGAAAGGCTGCTTCGGGGCTTGAAACACAGTACAAGAATGAATCTGAATATAACTACTTAAACAGCTTCTCAAGACTTCACCTTGACGCAAACCAATAACAAGTCATGGCTTCTATGGATTCAGAAGTAGTGCCCCAAGTTCACGAAATAGACCAGGAAGGGACAAAGAAGATGGAGGTGAATAGTGAAACAAGGAAGACCAAGAAGAAGAGGAAGTCGCGTATCTCCAAGTTTGGTTGTTTCAGAATCGAACGTGATGACAAAGGTGAAGGTTTTGATATTGAGGTTGTTGATGCTTCTGGTCAGCGTCCCAATCCCACCCACTTGATCATAATGGTTAATGGTCTCATTGGCAGGTTCGTTTTTCTAGCTGATTTTAGTTTTAACCCTTTTTTCTAAGAGTATTTGGGAGTTCTTAACTTTGATAATCAATAATCATGATGACTAAGTCATTAAATTTAAGCTTGATGATTTCCCTTTACTACTACTAAAATTATGTATAATATAGCACCTGGCTGTGTGGTTATGCTTAATCAATCTTCTTGTTAAGTAATGTGGCAATAATCCTTTATTGCAGTGCTCAGAATTGGAAATTTGCTGCAAAGCATTTTCTTAAAAGATATCCAGAGGATACTATTGTACATTGTAAGTCCGCAAAAATTCAATCCTGGTAGCTTCTTTTGTCTGTTGTGATTTCTAACTACTTAAGGAATATCATCAGATTGATGCTTGGGATCAATTAGATCAGGTAACATACGGGGAATAGTATTTTCTGTTTTTACGATTAATTACAACAATGCCATATTCTTGTTTTTAAAGTTTTGCACATAAGACAAATCGTTAGAATCAGAAGATAAAGTAAAATATTCTTCTATCTGTTGACATTATTGTAATTATTTGTGAAGAAATGGAAACAGAACGTTCTTTCAAACCCCCCACTTTCTCATTCTGCGACTTAAATATGGCGATGAATTATGTTAGTTTCTGATGATATTGTAGAGCTGCATATGTTAGGCTATCCCTATTTCACCTAATTTTCTGTGATGCCTTCAAGTACCAACAAATCTTGGAGGGTACGGTTCTTAATTGGAGTTCTAAAGTTTGGTTTAAATCATATCCTGTCCCTTGATGTTTCTATAATGAATGAACCCCATATACAAGACAATAAGTTGGTGTTTATTATGAATATTGATGAAAGTTGCTTCTTTGAGAGCCATTATTGTGCAGTTAGTGAAGTCCTTCTTGTTTGCAAACTAGATGAGCTTGCAAGCAGATGCAACCTTCTTCCCCTGCAAGCAGTTTCAAATATCTTCATTCTATATTTCTATATCACATTCTTTCACGGCAAAAGTGGCTTCCACCATTTAATGGAATCCATCATCATTGTGCAATGCAGGCAGTGAATGCAATTCTGCGATGTTGACATTTGACGGTGTTGATGTAATGGGAGAGAGGCTGGCAGTGGAGGTATGCTATACCTTTAAATTTCAAATGTTTCATATTCATGCTAATAATATCCAGAAAGATATAAGATTTTTATTCTCCTTTTTTCTCAGGTTATATCAGTTATAAAACGTCACCCAAGTGTTCAGAAAATTTCATTTGTAGGTCACTCTTTAGGTGGCTTAGTGGCAAGATATGCAATAGCCAGGCTTTATGGGAGAGACATTTCTATGGAACTATCTCAGGGGAATGGACATTGTGAGAGAGAGATTTCAGATCAAGAATGTTATGATAGAAAATATGAAGGAAAAATTGCAGGGCTGGAGCCCATAAATTTCATTACCTCTGCAACACCACACCTTGGTTCTAGAGGGCATAAACAGGTTATTCTTTTAAAGCTTTAATAATAGGTTGTCTGATGTGACTTTACTGTAACATTTGTAATTTGAATGCTTTACTATGTGTGATTACATTGCTGCAACAAGTGAAGGGAATTAGTGGTAATTGAATAGCAGTATAGTGTTAAATATATATATATATATATATATATATATATATGATTACTGTAGCTTACTGATCTGTGTTGATAATGGCTTCATGACTTGGTTTCAGGTTCCTATGTTTTGTGGATTTCGCTCTCTTGAGAAAGCAGTATCTCGTGTTTCATGGGTTTTTGGTAAAACAGGAAAACATCTATTTTTAACTGATAGTGACAATGGAAAACCTCCTCTTCTTCTCCAGATGGTTCGTGACTCTGAAGATATGAAATTCATGTAAGATATATGGTTTGGTTCCTTTGGTTTTTGAGAGTCACTAACGACGTTCTGAGTCATGAACAAATAACATACTACATGTATTTCTCTATAGGTCTGCTTTGCAGTCCTTCAAACATCGTGTTGCCTATGCAAATGTGCGTTATGACCGTATCCTTTGTTTTACTTTCAGCAGAATTAACTGATGGCTATTCTTGTCATAATTTGTTGTCACTGTTAATACTTGCATGAATAACTTGACTCTTAAATAGAGCTTGTTGGATGGAGTACATCGTCTATAAGGCGTAGAAATGAGCTTCCAAAGGTAAATATTACCAAAGCTTCTGCAGTACAACTTATATAATTTCTGTAAATTGTCTCACTAGTTTTTTTATTCAGCGTCGGAATCTTTCAAGACATGAGAAGTACCCACATATTGTAAATGTAGAGACAGCAAGATCTATTTCTATTGCTGAAGAAGTTCCTATTGAATCCGAAGTGAGTAATAGATCCAGCAAAGTTGACATGGAAGGTATTTCACCTTTTTTAACTGATTAATTTTATTTATCTTGTATCTGCTGATATTTGAAAGATTTTTGGCATACCTACTATGATAACATGACAAGGTTTTGTTGTTGTGGCCTGAGGCGGCGAGTGCTTGGCTGAAGCTCAAAAGACAAGCATTTTGTTAGACCTTTGTTAGTTCAGATGGCCCATGAAAGTGAAAATGGAAAAAACAAAAGAAAACAAATCAAAGTTTATGTCATTTAAAGATTCTTTAAGAAAACGCATTAGCTTTGTTTAATTATTCGTATTATAGTATGCATTTGGTGGAGTGACATCCTTACACAGGGATTCTAATTGTCTTTCTTTCTGGAGGGAGCTGTTGGACATGAGACACATTTTTTTAACATGTGATTCAGTTCTTGTTATGATATATATATATATATACACCATGATCCCGTTTGTTAAGTTTTAATACCTAATAAGGAGGAAATTTTCAAACAAAAATAATTTGTGCGTACATGAATTACTACAACTGTAGTCTTTTGAGAGCTGCAATATTGCATAAATGCTAAGGTAAAAGTCGTGTCTATGAGGGTACAGTGGACCCAATTTTCTTACTTGGAAAATTTGTACTAACATGCACAAAGTATATCCTCTAATGATTAAGAACCTTGAGAACCAAGCCTGCATGTTGCTTTTGTAATTTACAAATTTCTGGTAATTCTGATTGATAAAGAATTGTTGCTTTATATTTTGGATCATTATTAACATATATACAATAAACACTTGTAGAGGAAATGATCAGAAGCTTAACGACAATGAGCTGGGACCGCATTGATGTCAGCTTTAGTGGTAGTAGGCAGAAATATCTAGCACATAACACCATTCAGGCAAGTTTCTGCTTCTTGAAACCCATCATGTAGGAACATGTCACAAAATTTCTGTTTTGAAAATCTATGCTGATATTCTAGCATATTATCACTTGTGTTAAGCCTTTAACATTATATTTACTATGGTTGAATTTGGTTTTATCTCCAGGTGAAAACTTACTGTATCAATTCTGATGGAGAAGATGTGGTCCAGCATATGATTGACAATTTTCAGTTATAGAATTTTCCCACATTGCCAGCTTCTAAAAGACAGGGTAATGGATCAGGATCCTCTCCCGTAACATGATCCTCATGTTTCGTTTTTATTTTTGTTTAAGCAAAAATGCAAAAATAGCAGCACATGATGGTCATGTTTGCACAAATGAGAGGATCCCGATCCCAGGGTAATGCCATTTTTTTTTCTTGACAAGGGGAAGAAAAGGGGTGTTTGTGAACATTCACTATCCTGCCTCACTTTATGGGCTGTAAGTTGGAAAGGATACATACCAAGGCTCGATTGTTTTACATTTTTTTAGTAAAATTGATTTTTGTATAAATAATTTTGAAATGTGAAATATAATTTTGATGGATTTCTGTTCACAAATTTTCATTAAAATGTGTATTTCGATAAGAGAAATTGATCCATGGTTTGTCAATGAGGACGGACACAAAAAAAGGTGTAGAGAACAAAAGAAATGGCAGGATAGATTGATGAAATACAATGGGGCGTATAATTGTACCATAAATTGATGAAAAGATAAATTCTGTAGATTAATTTATTTTGAAGTTTTTTGGGTTATCTTTACGAGAAAATTAATAAAAAAATATTTAAAGAAGAAGCTACGAAACGTGCAATTAACCTTATCAGATCTGATCAGCACGGAAATAGTGAGAAAAATCTTTAAATTGTAATTTATTCTATACACAGTGCATCATCAATAAAATTTTATACTCAACTTATGAGATTGTAAATAGTTCTGACATCTTTCCTTATTGTACGCATTGAAATGATCTGCAAGACGTTTATGCCAAGCAAAAGTTAGCCTGAAGTAAATTTTGACTAAAAATGAAAGAGTTGATCATGGAAGTCCAGGTTGTTCGAGAAAATAATTTTTATTTTTATTTCTATAAGTAATTGTAAAAGTATTATCTTATAGTTTTTTATATAAATCTTTGAATATAAAGAGAAAATAACATTTCTTCAATTATTTGTAAAAGTCAACCTCAAAACCAACAATTTTATATCTTATCAACCTCATCTCCCTTTTTATGTCGGTTTTATATATTCTGGAAATAGCGGTGCCTCATGGATCATGATGCGATCACAGTAAGCAACTGCTGAATTCAGCGGGCCCAATAAGCCTACCTGACCCACCATTCCACCATCTTTGCATTAAGAGGGACCTGTAAAGACTAATGAACAGCATGCATTAATGTTTCGTATATTATTAGCATGTTTAAATTCAAGTTTATTTGAATATTATTAGTTCATGTTTATGTATACATTTTTTAACGTGTTTCTAAGTATAATATCAATTAACAAATCCACTTCCCTCCGTGACTTCCTTGGGAAATAATATAAGACAGGTTTGGCGTGTTCAAACATCAAACAGTGCTGAACATGTGTTTTTTCCCACTTAAGAAAAATATAAAACTGAAAGAATGAAAACCAATGCTTGTGAACTTGGTAACGTGGCTTTGGTTTTTCTCTTGTATTTTGGTATTCGTAAGTTTGCTGTGTTGTGGGCATGGCCATTACTTGCACACCTCAGTTCAAGATTTGTCCCCATACGATATAAGTTGGAGTTTTTGAGGCTCAGTGAACGAGGTAACTGTGTGTCTGTCTGAGTGAGGTCCTTGCCTTTGCCCTTTCTTTCTCTCAAAGTCCAATACTTATAATACACCTTTTGCAGTGTGTTTATCAATTGATGGGGAAATAATGAGGGTAAAAGGAGTGAGTGAGTGAGTGATTGCCTTTGTATTATAGGGGTTGCATTCAATATCTGACCCACATTAGGACAACTTTTTCAGAATTTTCAGCTTCACTGCTTTTTCTACTGCTACCTATCCTCCGTTTTCCCTTACTCTATTTTACTCTCTCTGTTACACACTCAAGCATAAACATCCTGTTCTTTTCCACCATCACTTTATCTTCTATCAAGCCTTTTGTATTTAGTTACACTCTAAAAACTTAACTGCTCCTTTCTTCTGAGGTCTCTTTCCCTTGAGAAAGATGGGCATCACTCAAATGTGTTTCTGCTGCCACAAATATAGACAAACCATCATATGGCTCATTCTCTTTGCTTCAACTTTGACCAATATTGTTTTCATGGCTGAAGGTTTGTTTGTCCCCCCTCTATTCTGGTCACAATATAATTCCTTTTTCTCTTTTTAAGAATCTAACTTTGCATATTCTTATGTGTATATGCATGCAGGAAGAGCAATTTCTAATCTTATTGAAGTTACCAAGGTACTAAATCAAAACCACGAAGTGAATTCTTCTATGCAACTATATGCCAGTATCTAACGTGGGATCATACTATTATTTTTATATATATGCAGAAGGACATGAAAGATGGGGAATCAATCATGGTTGCAAAAGCTCAGATAGGGTCAAGGCCTCCTAAGTGTGAAAAGAGATGCAGAAATTGTGGACATTGTGAAGCAGTTCAAGTTCCGGTTGTCCCTCAAATTCAAAGTCATAGAAGGCATTTTCCCACAGCAAGAGGAACCGTAGTTGTTACTTATTCAAGAGGTGATGACCTTTCCAATTACAAACCAATGAGTTGGAAATGCAAGTGTGGGGACTACTATTTCAATCCATGATTGAAAGGGTGAAGACCCATATATTTATTTGGCAATCAAAATGTGTATCACTTCAATTAACTATACATTCCTCCTATCTCTTACAACCATGATGCCTCCCACCTTGTATATGGTTGATATTTGGCAATTATAGTACATATTTATTGCTTCTTTTTGCTAAAACAACTTTTATATATATATATATATATATATATATATATATATATATATATAAATAATACCAGAAGCATCTTCATATCTATTATATTTTCCGTTTACATTATGTACTGAAATTTCACTTCAGAAGAAAAAACTAATGTAAAGATTTTGTGCATATATGTTAGCACATAGTCAATAGACCTCTGGGCATCTTCTTTCATGCACATATTTTCCTTTTATGTTATTATTATAAAAAGAAAAACAATGGGATATTAACTGAAAATGTTTAATGGTATTTTGGGATTCCATTGCAAAAACAAGATAAGAAGATCTAAAGAGGAAGAGAAGTAGTGTGTCAGAGAGTCCTGTTTTCGTATCCTACAAGATTAAGATTTTTTACATCAGAAATCAGAGTGGATGAGCTAATGCAACCCACCTCGAAGAGATAAACTTGGACGACAGCATACGTGCCTAAGGATCTCATTTATTCACATATTCCCATTTTTTTAGTTTAAGTTAGTTTGTTAGCTGACACAAATATTTCAGTGATGAAGATTTTGAAGCAACCACATCCTAGTGCATTAATTAACTGTTAACTGCCTCTTCTAACTCTCAGGTTTTCAGGAGAGGAAACATATATTTATGAAAGTCGCATTTGGTCCATAGAGGCAGTTTTTGGATAGAGTGACTTTTTAAATACAATTGTAAATATATTTTATACATGATTGGTCAATTTTTTAAAATAATTTTTTTTAACAAGTATAATGTTACACAATAAAAAAAATGTACATGTTAAATTTTTATTAAAAATTAAAATATTTATTTACATTAAATTTTGTAATTTTTTTATAAAAAATTATTATTTATAACCTTTTATGTGTATAGTTTGTAAAAAAATATTAGTCAATTTAAAAAAGTGTATTAAATAGCATTTCTATGTTTCTTAAGGGTAACATAACATTGGTGGGGTAAAAGGAGTTGGTGATTCTGAGTGAGTTGCATTGATTTTCTTGTTTATCTCTTTTGGTACAGACAATGTATGGTGGCATGGCATTTAATGTCACTCTTATTTTGTTGCTAACACTGTACCACTTATAAGAGCACTGCCCATTCATCATCCTTCTCCCCCATCTTTCATGTTGTTGGCCTGTGATCCAATATGCAACCCTGTCATCGCTCATCCATAAATTCAAAGTTCTAGCCATACTCAAGGAATGAAAATGTTAAAACACCATTTTATTACACTCTTTTTTTAACATATTAGTGTATAGAGTTTTGTTATATCTTTCTATAAAAGATATATTTTATGATTTTTACCATTTTATGAATTAAATTTTAAATAAAAAGAATATGTATTTATTATCATGAAAATATAAGAAAATATTTAATAATTTAAAAAATATTGATAAAAAATAAGAGATTTAAAATATAGATAAAAATATTGTTTTCAATAATTTTTTAAATCATTACTCTAAACTTTTACCATCACATAGTTATAAATTGAATTTGCTCGTGCAAATACGAGAAAAGGTTTATCATCTGGGATTGACCTCGTGGCAACCACCCCTAGTAGATGAAATATTGTCAATGACCAAAAATTTGTCTTCTCACCATTTATTCAAGATTTTTCTTAGAGATTACAAGTGAAAAATTATTGCATTCTGCTACTTCTCTGACTCAAATTTTGTTTCTCAAATCGATTAAATTATGCTACATGTTAGTTTTTCTGTATTTTGGACTAAACTTTGGGCTCGTTCCTGCACTGTTTTTCGACTAATAGAAGTTCTAAGTTGAAAAGGTAAAGATTAATTCTCTATGCTAGGCATGACCTTAAATTAATCTGACATGATTTTGGCATCAACGAGATGTAGTTTTTACTTAAATAATTTAAACTCATGTCTATAAATATGAGAAGCATGACCCCTAAAGATATGCAGTTTAACCCATCTTCAGATTCTGTTAAATTTTCCATTTACTTAAACATCGAAATATTTTTCAAAAGAATACTATCTGTTGCACTGCAATAGCCCTGTAGTTGTCAAAATCACTTGAGAAAGTTTATAAGGCACAACACTATAACAGTTTAGAGCCTTTCTATGTCAATAAACAATATGATGATGATAATGTCCTATTATGAGAGAAAAATATAAAATATGACGTGGAAAGGATTCTTATTCCTGATAATACATGTTTACATGATAAAATAATTTTTTTGTGGAAACATTTTTATTTTTCATTTTTAATTTATCAATTTATTGGTTAAAATTATTTTATTATTATTATTATTATACTGTTTTTTCTCTCAAAGAAAACAATTTTACTTATTTTTCAGTATCATTGTTTATATTTAAAAAAACATTCAAGTTATATCAACGTTCAAATCCTTGTTTTAATGTTAATTAGATTAAATCCCATTTGCTTATATTTATAAAATAATATTTAACATTTTATTTTTCTTTTAAATATTAATTGTCCATCTATCTTTAAATAAATTATTCATACATTTATAGTTTTAACTATTTATACATTTTTTAAAAAAATTAAAATTTAAAGTTTTAACTAAATTTTAAAAACATTGTTTTTTGTACCAGATGCTTCAACCATAGGATGAAAAATAGTTGGTTGAAAAAGTTAATGCACACAATAAATGTATTCGGAAGAGTTTTTTTTTTTTACATTGATTGAAAGATAAATGAAGATAAAGTATACTAATGCTTAAAATTATCAATATATTTTATTATTTATTTATATTTTTATGTCTCACACTATTATAATAAAAAAATTTATACTCAATCTGAATCTTTTATTTAATTTATATAAAATAAATTATAATTTATTATTTTATTAATTATTAGATATAAATTAAATAAAAAATTTAAATTAAATATAAGAATTTTTAGACTTATATTAATGTAAGAAGATAGTTCTTCTATTTTAATTAATTTGTTTTAAATCCTTGTTTATTAATTTTTTTAAAACTCTCAATTGTTTTAAGAACCAAACATTTTAATTTGTTTCTACTCTTTGGATGTTCAGGAAAAGTGCATAAGGTGAGGGTGGAGAGCAAGTCTTGGATCTCACAATGAATTAATAATAAAGCAGGTCTCAGATCTATCAACATTACGTAAAATATCATTGTGTTTGAGAAATGTAAATAATATTTTCCCTAACATTAAATTTGACAAAAAATACCACAATAATTATCTCAACTTTAAAGAAAAAATTCATTTTATATCTTATATGTAAATGATAAGGGAGTCAGAAATTCAAGGATGAAGATACCTGCTCCAACTCGTTTCCTATTTAGTAGTTAAATTATAAAGTTGTCTTGTTTGTACTAAAAATATGCTTGATTTTTAATTTTCATTTTGGGTTTTCTTTTAAATAAATTTTAGTTAATAATTAAAAATCTTCAAAAATTAATGTATTAAAAAATGTGTATATCAACGTTCTTCTGCCTCTATTTAATCTGTATTTAGATTAATATATATATATAAGGATTGCAACTTACTACCCAGTTATGATAATAATAAAATGTGTCGATTCTTATCCCTGCTATCACCAATGCCTCCACAGAGAAGAGAAGAATCAACAAGAAGTGAAAAATTTATCAATATCAATATCTTTGGTCTTGAAAATTTATTTTAAGTTCTAGTTTATTCTTTTATTTATTTTCATCACTACTTCTATCTTCCAACTTAATTGAGATATTTTACGTGAAATTTGCCATAATTATGTTCCCATTTTATTTAAAGTGATTGCATGAATATATATATATATATATATATATATATATATATATATATTTAAATGTCATGTAAGATGTTTTGGTTAAGTTATTTTTTTGTGAATTTAATATTTTTTAGCTAATAATTAAAAACTAACTTTTTTAAGCATAAAAATCAAAGAATAACACGGTGGAAAAAAGAAGAAGAAAAGTTTAAAAATATATCTTAAATTTTCACCCATGTACTTTAAACTGATTTGAAATTTTGATTGGAATTTTGCCATGTATATAAAAAAATATCACTGAATTTTAACCAACAAACCCAAGCACAGACAAAACACATAATATTGACAGCAGTTAATAGAGATGGGGAAAATGAAAATAATAAATATAGTATAAATATGCTAAAATATATTTTACGCATGAGTACACACTGTACTTATACTCTGGCTTGACTTTATTATAGAAAAGAATTATATATTTATCTATTTGTATATAGTATTATATTGTTTTTCATATTTTTTATTAAGTGTATAAATTTAATGAGTGTATCAATATAACATTTTTTTAATATATAAATGAAGTAAAAATTACTGTGCAAGTAGCATTAAAAATGAAAAATGTTGTTTCCTACCTCCAATGCTTAACATAAATACTCTTTGATACAAAAACGACGTCGTTATGCATGTCCGTTAATGCCAGAAAGAGCTAAAACATGCACACACATCATGTATGGCTGGCTTGGCCCGTGACTTGTATGTGATTCACGAGCTTTCGCAATCTTCTCTCTCTCTTGTTGTGGACTTCGCGTTTGCTCCTCCAAAAACACCATCAGAGATAGCATAGAGATATGATGGATTTTTCTCACTCTCTTAGCTTCTCACATATCCTCTATCCTCATAGTTATTAGCTTCCCACCAACTTTGCAAGTTGCATTCTACTTCAAACATCGACTCATCCAGCACCTTCTTTTTCTTCAGCATGTATGTTCATTCTTCCTCATTTGCTTCTATTTTTTTGACAAGAATTTTTTGGTTCTTCCGACGTCTCTTTTTAACACTATAATATAAATATTAGTTGCCCACGAAGCTTGGACTTAAACCACGTGCTGAGTTATCCCACCATTGCAATTTGAAATGTGTGTATATTAATAGGGTGAATTTTTAATTATTTTTTGTTATTTAAATCTTAGTTAAATTGGAAAACTTTTTTTCTGACCTTTGAATTCAGCAGATGGTTTTATGGTCTTTGTCAATGAATTTGTTTTCGCGCAGTTTTTCTTTTTTACATACAGTGATGAGCTCATTGATTATTTGATCTCAGAATTCAATATATTTGTGTAATGTGGAGGCTATAGAAGTCTTGGGGTTGTCTCTGATTGAAGAGTTAAACTGAATAGCTTGTTTTGCTTCATTTTTAAGTTGCAACAGATTTAGAAAAATAAGTGATTACCTGGTGGAATACCTAGTTTCCAATTTCTTGACTATTTTGGGGACTCAGTGACTTACATTACTAATAAAAGTGTTTCAAGCAACCAACCATTAATAACATTCCAGCCAACGTTAAATTTTGGAAAACAAATGAAGAAAGAGGACTATCATTGTCATCTTGATATAGAAATTTACCAACTATCTTGCCTTCAACATCTTTCCTCAGCCTTAATATGACATGATATTATTTTCTTTGTTATGCATAACGCTTAACAAAGAAAATACTATCATTATGCATAATGCTTAATTATTTTTTTCTTCAACTCTATGGGAGAGCTTTGTGAACAGTACTATTACATGAGTCAAACGGGATTGACTTTGATTAAAATATCGAGAACGCTGGCTTATGTTTGTTTTCCTTTTTTTTTTCTGATATGCATTTTTAGTCACATCAATGCTTTTTGCACAGATTCTGCTAATCTCTGTTGCTGATAGTTGGCAGAGAAATTAATGAGTAAACCATGCTGAAGCAATCACCTAACAGAAATCAGAGGACAAAAGGCTTCAAGGTAAAGCAAGGTTTGAAAATATTTACTTTGATCGCTGTTGGCATATGGTTGCTTTACCAACTCAAACACTCGTATGATAAGAAGTCAAATGAGGAAAGCTCTTTAAAAATACTTGAAAATCTGAAGGCCAGTATTGAAACTAAAACACTCGGAAGAAAAGGGTCCCAACCATGGACAAATAAACCATACGAATTGATGGATGATACAGAAGAAAACGAACACGAAAGGGTAAAGGAACAAAGCAGAGGAGTGGAAGATTATTTAGTTGGACTTGGACATGATAGAGATAAAGTGGTGGAAGAGGAAGAAAATGAGGAAGCAGAAGACTTGATTGACGAAGAAGACAAGGAGAAGGAGGAGCCAAATGAAGAAGATGTTGAAGACATAGGAAAACATATGGAAGATATGAGCGTATTAGAAGATCAAGGCCATGATGACGGTGAAAAAGACACACAAGCAACAAGTGAGGAACATTACAAAGAACGTGGTGCATCCAGGGTTGTCATGCAGGTGACACAAAGTTTAGGTTCTGAATTTGAATTTGGAGGTTCAAGAAACGTAAAAGGGGAAAGGGTAGAAAATTCAGAAAAGAGTGTTAAAGAAAAGCAGCTTAAGCAAATCATGGGTCCAAGCAGTGTCCACACCACTGATTCAAGTCCTAAAGTGGTAGACCATGTGCCAATTGAACATGGCTCGTTTCCAAATGTCTTGTTTGAAAGGGAATAAATGATGTACTTGATTTTTGTGATGGATCAAATTCTGATTCGTTACTTAGGATGAAGTTTAATTGAACAACAAAGAGTAGCCATAATTCAACATGGATGCATGTTAGAAGCTTTTGTTTCCTTGTAAATGGCACGATTGCATGGGTGGGAAAATAAAAGGTAATAGTGGAATTGACAAAGAGGAGAATTTGGAAAAAAGTGCCTGGCGAGGACTTGCTGCCAACCAAGTAACTACTTTAGAATAATATCATGGAATTTTTCTTTTGTTTTTCTTTTCAAATTGTAAACGATTAAGATGTCCAACATTGAGCAATTGTAAACACTTTCTTCCTGTGAACTTGTGTCATATTATGCCTAGTGCCAAAACTATTATAGTCAAATCTTCTGGTTGAGGAGTTTAAAAACTTAGTAAATAAACTCAGTAAAGTGTCGAGGAGATTTTATAATATGTGAATAATGAATAGTTGTTGCAACATATTTGACTCGGAAAATATTGCATAAACACCTTTCGGGGGTACAGCTAGAGAGATATATAATAAATGTGATAGATAATATAATGTGTTAGAAGAGAGAAATTGCGAGAAAAAAAAGTTTTATATGAGCGTTAACGTTATTAAAGTGTTTATAAATCAAAATTATGTTGACTCGTTAATTTGAGATTACGTGAGTTCGTTTTGAAAAGTAAGTGCCGCCATTTTACTTTCAATGTCAGGCTGGCGGGACCAGTTATTTTTGTTTTTAGTATTAGATGGTCCACTTCCTTCGTATTCAAATGCTCTCGTGATATATACCAACAAATATGGCTAAGGGTACAAGAAAGCTGTGGTCTCACAGCCCCTCGGTATTGAATTTGTATGTAGATGGGGATATGGCGGAAAATGTTAATTCCAAGATAGATTCACAAACAATAGTTTCAAAAGAAAGGAAGAATGGCTGCGGCATTACTTTGAATACTTTCATAACCAGCTGAGGAAAAGATAGCAATACATTTTGACGTTTTTTTAACACTGTTTTTAAGTATACTTGCATGCTTACTTTACAAAATAATCTCGGCTTATTCAGTAATGGGGTTAGTATAAAATTTTACATAATTAGGAAAAATTAGTAAAACGAAATGTAAAAAGTGCATTAAAACCAAAAACAAGTAATATGTTGCTAATATTTCTCTAACCATTATTGAAGATGCATAGGATTAATCGATCTGATACGATAGTTACTACAGAAAGAAATTGAGATCAAGGCATTTATGATTTGATAATTACAAAGACAGGAAGAAATAGGTCCATTTCTTATTTTTGTTTTTGGTCTATGTCAATGTCTAATATCTTGTGCCATTGATTTGACGAATTGCTCACAAGATGATGGTATGGTCTGTAGATGAAAGGTATGTTTATTTCGTCCAAGAGATTCTGACACTGACCCCCGCAGTTTGTTTTAGAAGAAAGAAAACGGGGAGAGAGAAAAAACCAATTAAAGAGAAAGAAAACAATTTTAAATTGTTATTGTTAAAGTTAATTATTCTGTTCTTTTCACTCTTTCAAATAAACCCAATTACATTACTGGCTTACTACTTACGATATTACTTCCAAGAGAATTCAAATAAACCAACTACTTTATTTCGTCTTATACATGATAGCACTTGACGTAGCCTAGACAGAATGAAATAAACTCCCTTGATCAATTTGATAAATAATTTCAGATACAAAAATTGAGGAAATAGTAATTTAAAAAATTTGATATCAGATTCTTATCGTTTGAGCTTAGGACAGTAAAGTTAGTTTTGTTCGCAAATCACCGCATGCTCTTAATTACCAAATCCAATCCATTCTGCAACATTAGAAGCTCATTAAACAGAGATAATAAAGTATACACTAGAAATCATCCTAAACACCGAGGATTTCATTTCTTCAAAATCTGTTAGTGCCACCCTCTCCGTTTCGATACAAAGCCAATAAAGACTTGTATTTTCAACCACAGGAACGAGGCAAAGCACCTCATCAATGAGGCGACACAAATTCAACAGTGCCATCAATTTTCTAAACCGCAAAGGGTTGCAGAACTTAATCGTATCAACGTGAAATGACTCTAAATAAAATCAACTAGAAGAATGGGATATTTAGAGCTGCGTCTCCTGTTTCCAACACGGTCCAATGCCATCAGTCACTTTATCACCCTTTTGTCCCATCTATTTTTGTTTGCTAATCATTTCTCTAAGAGTGTTTCAAGTGGACTTTCGAGTGCGCATTCCATTGTAATAGCATCCATACAATCGATGTTCCTATCAGTAAAATTAGATGTTAAAATATTTTTCATCCATAAATAATATGCTAAAATAAGAGGACAAAAATCAACTAATAAGCCAAACTGAGGTCGTTCCAGAATTAAAATGGGCCGAACGGTATGCGGTATAATAATATAAGACATGTATTGTGTGGTACAAGATACTTTTTCCTTTTTTTTTGGTTTTTTGATTTGGTGGAACAAAAAGAAAGTAGAAAATTATTCATACAGGATGAAGACAACTGAATAATGTAGATAAACCTCAAAATTAGGAACCAAAAGTGTATTAAGCCTTCAAATTCACATGGCCTACAATTAAATTTTGCACACAAGAATAAATAAATAGATAAACCCACAGTATAAAGAAAAAAATTGGCGATTAAGAAAGAAAGGCAGTTTTGCACTTTTGCTCTATAATTAAAGAGAATAATGTAACGTTTGTCAATTTGATGGGACATGAGAACAAATTTTCATACCTGCAAATATGCCAACAGTGGTCAGGTTCGAAATCAACATCGTACGATAAATTAGGTATTCAGTCAAGAAATGACCAAAAGCATAGATGAATGACAAGAAAGTAGCCAGGTAGAGAGGCCTATTGTTAAGGTTGAATGCGCAGATATAGCAAAGGGTGCAGGTCAACAGGGTCCAAGTTCCAAATGTACGCCCATGAACTTCAGTCACTACAACAATTAATAAACTCTTATCAGTTCTCATAATTCTGAAATTCATATACGGTTAGTTTTTGAAATTATAATTAATATAAAGCTTAAACAAGTGCAGCAAAACAACTCTGTTAAAGCATTGTGATGAATATTGTTGAATTTTATAAGCTGAAGTACCGTAATAACAGTGTTCATATCATATCATTTTAAAAGAGTGTAGACACAAACCCCGCTCTGCCAGTCATAGCCACTACTTACAGTAAAGGCTCAACCGCACTTCAAAGAAGAGTGCTTATCTTGTTTTGATCAATTACGCCCTCAAGTCAAAAGCATGTGCAGCTCTCTGCAAGAGGGTTACCGTAGATAAATAGATTCAAATTCCAAATTTCCAATTACTTTCGACTGTGTACATGTGGAACAACTTTCAAGATTATTTAAGAAAGGATATCATATAGCGCCTTAGGACGAGCATGTGAACAAATTGCAATATTACATTGGCAAATATGAATCGGGTTAAACCTAGGCTCTAAAAGGTCATGAAAGCAAATATGACGAACTTGGCAAGGATGATTACAGCATTGAATTGGTCAAAAAATATTAAATCTCTACTCATGAAATACCTCAGCTTTAAAAATAAAAAAGTCAAAATACATATTCACTTGGTTCCTACATCTCCTCCCAAGTTCTAAAACCATCCTTCATATTGATTGACAACCACCAATGCATTTATCCAGAAGACCCGAAAAACATAATCGCTGTTTTTCTCCTAACAAGCCTCAAGGCTTGTTTACTTTGAGAAAATGTTGTTTATTTTCTTTTCTTATTTTCACTTATTGTTTTGTTATTTCTTATACAGTTGTTTTAAAATAAAAACAATGTGACACTGCATCGTAATTAAAAATATAAATAAAAACATTATTTTGATAACAAACAGATCCTAAATCTTCTTATCTGTGCAATCAAAATCCAACTTGCATACGTTGTTATGGAACAAGGCAAACCCACTCTATCAAAAAGATTAAGCTGTTATTTGGTTAACTGCTTATAACCAAACCAGATTTCTATCGCGATAATACATGTTTGCATCAAGAACACTCTCTATAAGTATAAAGTTCAATGTCTGCCACCTTTCACTTCAACCAAAATTTCACAAAAGCGATACACGAAGCAAATCCACCCTGTCTAGAACATTGCGCATTATTTCACATCATATCATATCTAAAACAAAATTTTCTACGATCGAACCCTACATCTGTATCGTGCTACAGAGAAATTCAGTATTTTAAGAAAATCCTGATGCGGTGGCGTGATGCATAGCTCACATCAAAAAAGAAATTTCGGAATTGAAAACCTAACCGATGTAGAACCTATTCTGGAAACCTTCTGATTGCTTGTGGAATGCAAAAGGAGGGAACAATGATGTTTCCTTGAGAATTGAGAAAGCTAAAAAGGTTGAACAATATCTGATGCATTGGGATCTAGAAGATTTCATTATGATGCATTGGATCTAACGTTTCGATTGTGTGAGTCAGAAAAGTATGAAATCCATCGAATGACACAACACGGACACACGAGGCCCGTTACAGACGCTGAAACGGCAAGCAAACGGGTCAAGTAGTTGCAGTTTGCACTTAAACGACAGAATCTAGCCTTGAAACGAGTGAAGATGTAATTGATGTGAGAGAATGAATTGAATAGCGAGTTATGTGTAATGTGTGTGGTTGGAGTAATATGAGAAAGAGAGTAAAAGAAGAGTCAGTTACTGGTAGTGTTGGAGAAGACGGCGAGTCGAAGGGCCCAAATGTCGAAGAAACCGAACCAGACGGAGGCCAATCGAAGCGTGCCCACCGCTATCAGCCACCATCCCAACGCCTTCATTTTCTTTCTTTCACTTCTGCGCCTCTTTCACTCTTCCCTATCACTTCGTCTGCACATAACCCCGATAAAACCGACGTCGTTTTGAACAAGCCCAGAATCACTTAAAAAATGCTAACGTGGATAAAGGTTAAAGAAATAAGGAAAAGGAAAATGATAACCAAATAAAAATTATTTTACATAAAATATAATGTTTTATGTTATTAAAAGTATTTTTAATACAATTGTTTAAAAAATAATTATTGTTGCATATTAAAATTATCAATTTTATTAACCTCTTTAAGGTTGAATTTAAACGCCTCTAAATAATTAATTTTTATACAAATTATTATTTATAATTTTATTAACTTTAATATTTATGATTGTGTTTAAGTATTTAAATGAAATATTTATTTTATTAGAAACAAACACTTTAGTATAATTATATTTTATTTAATAATAATTTATTAGTATTAATTTTATAACTCAAACTTAAAAATTGATATTACCATTTGTTAATATTTTTTTAAAACTAAAATTCTTAAAATGATAAATAGTTTTCAGCAAAAAAAATTATAAATTTTTTATTACTTATTCACATACCTTCAAAATTAATATGAAATATAAAGATAAATTAAATCATACGTTTAGTTCATATATTTATTATATTTTAATTTACTGTTATAATATAATAAATAATAAAAAATAATGAAATATTTGTAATGAAATAAAATATTATTTTTTAAAATATAAAATTAATTCATTAACATATTAAGTATAGAGATCATATATATAAAAATTATAGATAATACAAAACACCAAATTTAACTAAGTAATGACCTACACTATAATTTAATCTTATATTTATAGCACTTAATTTTTTATCAATAAATTGTTGCTTAATTTTATATTAGTTTCTTTTATTTTATATTTAAAAATAAAATATTAATATTTTTATTATAATATTTTAATATATAACTATTTCAATTTATATATAACATACTTTTTCAGTAAAAGTTTAAATATAAACTGTATTTATATATGAAATCATACCATTACTGTAAATTTAAATGATAAATTTTATTATATAAACAAATTTATAAATTTTTATTATTATATAAATAAATAATTTTATTATATTTATTAAAAATCTTATTAGTTGATATTTCTATATTTTTTATCAATTAAATATATTATTTATAAAATAAATATATATTTTGACATGTCTAGTTTATTTATTTGTAATAAAAAACTTTGTCATCAATTATTTTTTATTTTATTAATTTATTTATTTATCAAATCAATAAATTATATATATATTTTTGAACAATAAATAAAAAATTTTGAAAAATACATATAAGCTTTTAATTTTTTTAAATTTTATAACTCTTTTATTTAACATTTTATTTTTATTTTTGCAAGACAGGTTCACTGAAAAAATACTTTTTAAAATTTTGTTAAAATATGCATTTAATTTTATATTTAACGCACAGTTATAAACTGGCATTTTTAAGGACTTTCTTACATTTTATTAGAAGTTAAAACTCACAACTATCCGATGCTTGATATCAGATAATATATCCCCTGTGCATGTTTTTTGTTTTTCCTTTTGTGCAAATCATCGTCCCTAGCTGTTCCAATAAGTCGCGATTCATATATCAACATTTTGTGCTTTTTATTTAACAAAAACAAATTGTACAAAAGACTTATCCACAAACGCATATACTCATTTCAATCTCAAGTCTTCAGACAAAGCTTTCATAAACCTTTAATTTAATGGAAGATTCTGGGCCTCTGAGTTGGACTCAAGTACAGCCACGATACTTTATGAACGGTGAACTCGTGTGAAAATTAATTATTATAAGAAAAATACAGCTGTTGTGTTTGATCCAACTAATGACTAAAAGAAAATTTCAGAAAGAGAACGAACGAATGGTTGTCATTGGATTCGTCTGCACGAACCACACCCATCCATTTCTACAATTTTGTCCCATTCACGTACAGTTTTAAAAATTTATTCATTTGCTTAAGTTAATCACACAGCAACTAAAAAATACATTTTATTATCTTATTTTTAATAAAAGTACAATGAAAATGCAATTATTTTCATTATTTCAATGCATCTCAATGTATTCTTTTAATAATTTTTATTTTATTTTTTAACCAATGTATTTACAGTACTGATTAACAACATTTAAAATTCTAAGACAATATTATTTTTATGTTTTTCCAAACTATTTTACTTACATAGTATAATAAATAAAATATTTATATAGAATAAGTAGTATGAAGAAATTTTCCAATAATAACAAATATAGTTAAAATTATATTAAACAATAAAAGTTTTTAGTCAGTGTATTTTTATTTTTTTTTTAAATTAAGTTAGTATTGTAATATTTTTATCATTCAATTTTTAATCACTGCTTTAAAGTTGGAGAAACACTACTTTTTCATAAAATTTATAAAACAAATTTACAGAATAAGAGATATATGAGAAGTAGTATGAAAAAATGTACTAAATTTGATTAAATTTATAACAAACAAATACACAATTTATTAAAATTAATAAAAAAAAAGTAGATATATATCATAAATTTAACTTATATTTCATAAATGCTAATTGTATTGATCGGTGTCTTACATAATAAATGAACAATCATGTCTATTTATATGGATAAAAGGTGAATATATTAGTAACATAAATCTAAAAGTAAACAAGGGTATAAGAAAATACAATAGTTAATAAAATTTGAAAATGAGTTTCTATTTTTGATATTTTGAACCAGACAAAAATATTAGTAGGTTTTTTTTTTTATAAATATTATCAAAGGTAATATGAAATAAAATAAGTAATGTGATAAAGAAAGATATAGTAAAACCTGACTATAAGAGTATAATGAACTTACAATTTATTTGATTTTCAGTTATCGACGCAATTATGTTATATATAAGAGTATAATGTTATGTATTATTTATGATTTTAGCGGCAATTTCACTTTGGACGGTTTTTTTTTTTTTTGGTAAATTTCAACTTAGAGGAAATTAAGTTAATCTATTTTTTTTAATGTATATCAAACGAGACAAAATAAGAGATTAATACATTAAAATTTTATTATAAATTATAATATATGTTATTAATGTACTAGATGTTATAATTTTTAATAAAAAAATATTTTAAATTTTTTACTGTTGCTGGCACTTGCTTTTAGAGCAAAGTAGTGGTTAAACTATTACTCAAAAAATCCATAAATGATAAAATTTTATTAAAAATTGTTAGAATTCATTAAAAATATAAGAGTGAGTGTATTTTTATAATTTTTAACTAGTACCTCTTTAAGGATATAAGTCAATATTTTATGTAATTTTTTATTATACGTCCTGAAACACACATTAAACGATAATTTATTATAATTTTATATCTCAAATGTAGTAAATATTTTTAGATGTTTAAATTGAACCTTAAAGATCACGTCTAAGAAAATTCCTGAAGAAATCGCAAGTTAATTACGCCATAGCAGAGTTGAGACGTGACATGTGAAGCAGAACTAGTTTAAGCATTTATTGCATTCAATGAACAAGTTGGTATGAAGTTAAAAGTAAACACAAGCACAAGGCTGATTTTGTGGAATTTATACGAAATAAAGTGACACTAACAAGGCGAATTTTCGGCAATTTATAAAGGGGGGCAATGCAGCCAAGAAACATGGTAGATGCGTGTTCCCCTTTTCATTTACATGGATCAACGAATGTAAGAATTCCTCGTTTTAGTGTGCAATAAAAACATTGTAAAAGGAAAACAAATTAATTTAAAATTAAAATAAATCACAAAAAATAAGAATAGAAAAAAAATTGAGACACAACTTACATATTAATTTTTGGATATTACTGATATTATTTATCTCTTAAAATTAAATTTTGATTTTAATAAATTATTTATATTCAATGTTATTGCATTGCCAAATGATATTAAATAAACATAAAATTGTCATGTTATGATTGTAACTATAAATTTATAATCTAATAAAAAAACGAATATGTTTTATTGATAAAATTTGATTTAAGCAGTGCTTAAAATGATATAATCAGTTCAAAAAGTTAGTTAAAATAAAGAGTAAAGAAAAAATTGAAGAATTGAAATGATAAAAGTAGTGAAAATTTGGTAACCTGGCAGAGGCTAGGGGAAGCACATGATGCAGTGAAGAGTGAAAATGTGTGTGGGGGGGCGTGAGTGGTGAGATAAACGTTACGCGAGAACATAGATCACGTTGTTCTGTTGTGCTTTGGTCAGTTAAGTTGTTTTACACAACAATTACTCTTCATCCCTCTTCACTTTCCAATAAAAGGTCAGGGGGGGACCAAACAAAGCCACACACAACACACCACACCACATTGCCTTAGCTCCCAAGTCTTCACAGCACAGCCACAGCCACAGCCTCTCCCCTGACCTAACCTAATCTATTTGCAGGCTGTGCAAAAAAAAAACAATGTTTGTGCAACATTATTCAGACACTGTCAGCAATGCAGTACTCACCCCCACCCACCACAACCTACCCTCACTCTATTAATAAATAACAATCCTTTTTCTTTATTTTTCCACATAAACTTGCCTTTTTAGCGTTGGTTTTATCTACTCAAAATCGATACTGGTCCCGTGACCAAGGGGATGAGAAAAATGAAAGGAAATGGCTTTGGACCACCCCCTTCACACACAGCACAACACCTACACGTCAGTGTGCCACCACCAACCTCAATACTCTCTACCCTACCAATCATCTTCGACTTTGATAATTTAATTTAATTCTCGATGATTTGTCATGATACAGTAGTATAATAGGAGTGATACTTTAGTTATAAATAATCCATTCAATATATCGCTGGCGCTCGTGCAACAAGAGAATCCCATTTTTGAAATCCATAAATATAATTTGCGTAATGCATACGTGCTTTGTCGCCAAGTCAAGACAGAGGCGACGCTTTACGGTTCCTGCCCAATTATTAACAGCACAAGCCCCTCCAAATCCCATGACTTGTGCCACAGCAAGTCGTATGATTATGTGCCTAATTTCTCCATTTTATATTATTACCTCCCTTAAAGCACGCCGGAACTCAATCTCACTCTGCACGCTCCACTGCGTTACAGCTATCATCCACATCATCTTCAAACAAAGCGTGCACGCACGTACCGTTAAACATATCAAAACTAAATTAATCCCCGCCACTCAATCTAACAACTATTACTAACCCTGAATTTAATTTCTTTCAACTTTTTTATTTAAATTATAATTATCCTCCACAAAAAGATAACTTTTTTTTAGTCAAGAACATGTACAATATCCGCATCCTCCCAGTACAAGTTTTTCATAATATGCCATTGCCAACAAACAAATCTAAATAACTGACTAGCTCATTATTTTCTTAAGTATCAATAACAATAAAATATACATAAAAAAAATTTAACAAAAATGTTGCAGGCCAAATTTATCTCCAAAGTTAAAAAGAAATTTGCATACATTTTATTTTACCCATTCTATTCAGTGGATCATTATTTAGAATGCGATAACTCATCATTTTCAGTGGATCAAATACTAGAATGAGATAAATTAATAAATATTTTATAAAAAAAAATTATGAACACAAATTCGTAAGCCAATTGAGAGCGCAGTCGCATTTTATTAATAACCAATTTATTTCATGTATAGACTTGGGCGTTTCCTCTTTTCAACTATAATAAATTTATTATAGAACATTTATGACTTTTACTTAAAAGACTTAATTTCTAAACATCGTTGCTAAAAAGAAACTATCCACTTAACTAGCAGTAATGGGTGGCCAGACATCTAAATTTATCAATTTATTGACAAAGCGGTACTTACAGCTTAAATTACTCAAAAAGGATATAAACACGAATGTGCAGCATTGTTGCTAAAAAATATATAAAAACAAAAAGCTTTTTCTTGATTTCCCATAATTGATGAAAAAAAGAGAGAGAAAATCAATGAAAAGCCACACGTGAATACACAGCAGCGCCCACTCTAATACTCTCATCCCTGTACAGCCTGTAAATTGTTTGTTAGTAGTACCAGTAAAACGCCTCACTCAAAATGAACAAAACCCCCTTAAAAAAAATTTGAAAAACGACAGGGGCAAAAGCACGAAACGACAGCGAGAAAACTGCGCAATCAGCCAAGCAAATCCAGCTGCTGGCAGAGCTCTTTCCTCAACCGTTGAGAGAAAAGCCTGCAAGCATCCACGCTCAGATCAACCGCTGCGGCTAACGCCACAAACGCCGCCGCATCCTCCGTGCAGTTCACGTGTGGCACGCTCACCTCCACCGTAGGATTGCTGCACCTTCCCTCACCCTCCACTCTCGCCGACATCACGAACCCTCTGTACATACAATAAGGCCAAAGACCATATCCATAGTCACCGCTACTCCTAGGACTGCAAACCGGCGACGTCGCACTCCCCGGCGTCGCACGCCCGTTGGATCCGCCGCCGAGGCTGCCGCAGCTACTCAAATCAATCACGAACTTTCCTCCTTTTCTTGTACTCAGCGTTGACTCCGCGAGGACTATGCCGGCGGCGCTCATGCCACCGTTGGTGTCGGGTATGAGCTCAAAGCGGTAGCCGAGGCCGTCGGAACCGCAGCGCTCGCGCCACGCCTTGAGCCTTCCCCAGGGCTTCCAGGTGCCGTCGCCCGGTCGAAGAATGAGCCACGAACCGGGAGTGGAGCAGCTGACCCGGTCTGAACCGGGTGAAGCAACGAAAGGCGTGACCATGGAAGCAGCAGCAACCGGTGAACCTGAAAGATCGTGAACCGTTATGGACCATCCCTTACGTTCCTTTCCCGGACGCTCGCGCTCGCTTCCGAACGAACTTAACCAGCTTCTAGAACTAGCCGGTTCTGACTGTAACGATCTGTACCAAACAGAACCTAAGCGTTAGCAAGCTGGGATAACACACTCACTCAACGTAACAAACAGAAAACTGTTATGGTCTTGGAAATTCAAACCCCTAAAATTGACTAGTAACCTAAACCACTACTAAAGCCAACCAATTAACCAAATTTGAGTGTAATTTAGAAGCAACCGCATTCAAGCTATTCGTATATATTCAGTTTAACCTTGGCTTCCCACTTTCACTGTCTATAAAGAGTAAAGCACAAGCATACACATAGAAACAACTAAGTGAAGTCGAAGATTATGTATTGGATTTTCAGTGTTAAATTTTGGTATCTATTCTAATTGTGAGCTAATTTAGGATTAGTAGTGTGAAGAGGACTAACCTGGAAAGTTGATTGCGGTCACCGGTGTTTCTGAAACTGAACTTGCAGGTGAAGACGGGTTGCGAAATATTGCCTTGGATCTGGAAAACTTGGGGGCTGCATTCTGGTTCGCCGTCGAACTGGAAGACGAATCTGGGATCTGGTTCGGCTTTCACATTCAAATGGAACTGCGCGGAAGAGCCTTTGGCTTCTTTTCCCACCGTAATCCACCCATTGTGGAACACCATAGCCTTGGCTACGGTTCCCGCCAGATCCAACGGCACGGACACTTTGCCCAGAAGCCTCCCAGAGTTGACGCCGCAGGTGGTGCCGCGGCGGCCGGTGTAGATGGATATTTTGAGGCAGAGTTTGCCGGCGAAGATGGATTTCCCGGCAAGCCTGTCGAGATCAGACTTGCTGAGGTGGAAGGTGGCAGCGATGGGCTGAACCTGGGAGTCGGGGAAGTGGGTATCGGGAGGGATGAAGGGGACGAGTGCAGATTGGAGAGGAAAGTTTTTGAGCTTGATCTTGCAGAAGCATGGAGAAGAAGAAGGGTGAACGAGGGAGCGTGCGGGCTTAGAAGCAACGGGAATCTTGAGGGCGAGGTTACCAACGGTTAGGCGCACGAAGGGGCAAGGATCCATGGCGGGGGACAGAGGGAGAAAGATAGAGGGGGAGATGGAGAAGGTGAATGCTAATGAAGGGAATGCAATAGCGTGGAGGGGTATGGAAGAAACATGGGGGGAGAGGGAGGGAGAGCAGTGAGAGCGTTGTTGGTGTTCATTTTTGGTTTGGGTATAACCCAAAGAGGAAGTGCTGTGAAATGAATTAGTTGAGTTGATGTGGGGTAACATAAAGGGAAAGGGAAAATGGGGAGAGAGAGAGAGGGAGAGGGTGGGATACAGCTGGGTACAGGGTGTCGTGAGTGTAGTGGCTGGGGAAGCCAAGTTGGGTGTTGTGAGGTGAGGTCCCTCTCTTTCCCTCCTTGCTGGGCTCCACCCTTTCTGATATCAGCACACTCCCCACCCCCCCTATCCCTATTGAATTTTTCATTTCTTTTATTTTACTGTCCATTTCAATTCTCTCAATTGCCCTTCCCTTTCTGTTACGCTGCTCCCTACTGCGTAGGGGGTACGGGTAGGGGTAAGGGTAAGCCAGCAGCATGAACCGCATCTGCCACACCACACGTGGAGTTGCTCTTCCTGCCGCTCAACCAATGCGCATCCTCTATCTTGACGCCCATTCCTCCACGCTACTAGTATATACTATTCTCATTCAGGACCGATGCCCTTTTTTTTCTTTACTTTTATTTCAAATAATATAAATTATTTTTTCTTTAATCTTAAAACCCATTATATGTCTGTCAAAATCGTAAAGAAAATTTTTTATTGTAATTAATACCATATATATAATATTAAGTTTTATATTTAAATAAGAATTGCTAATTAGGATCTTAAAGATATCGATTAAACATAGTATTTGACTTTTTAATGAATATTTTTCACTTTTGATACTTTAACTAGTAGTAATTTAAGATGATCAACAATGGTACAAGCCACTTTTCCTCTATCTCCTTAAAATTAGAATTTAATAAGGAATTTGTGAGAAAAGATGCATCCCTTGTATAAGCAACTCAGTTAATTGTGTTGAGAAACACAATTCTACGTGTAAAATTATATTTTAAAAAACTGAGGGAAGCAATTGCTGTTAAAGATGACCTAAAGACAGTGATCAATATTTTCCTTTAAATAATGGCACTGCCTACGGTGAAATATATATTTTCCAAGAGAGAGCGTAGAGCATGGCACTTGAGAAGAGTACAAGAAAGGTCTAAAAGTGTTTTTTGCTCAACGAAAAATAATCCATGAGTCCCATTCTGTATATATAGAGTGGTAACAAAGGTGAGTGTTAATGATTCTTTTGTCGCCATGTTACGTAATTAAGTGGATTTTGTTTGCGCCCCTTATAAACATTGTTGATAACAGCTAATGAATTAACGGACAAGGGAAATTAATATTTGTTTAACTGTTGGGAAACGAATAAAGCCACGAGAAGCATACACTAGTGCATTTGTTTTCTAGTAAAATTTAGGGTGTGAGGAAAAAAAATAACACTAAAATCCTCTCCTTCGAAGACACAAAGCGGCCATTCGGCAAAGTACGTTCAAAAGCATCTCCTAATTGACCAAAACAGTTATATTTATCTAAACCGGAAGAGTATTGGGCACATGTAAACTGATCAAATAAACAATAGCAGGGAGTTATTTAAATGGTTTACGATAATTCATTTTTCTCACTTTGCTTCTTGCCTTCTTGGGATAACTGACTTCCAAGTTTAAAAATATAGTGTCATTGCTTCAAAAACTCCCTTTGTTTTTTGTGCGTGTGGTTTTTCATTATAAGTTGCTTGTATTTGGCTATAATTTTTCACAGCAAGTAGAAGGATTGATTTAGATCTATGTGGTCTCCGCAAACGAAAGTGAAAGTTGAAGTAACCAGAGAGTTCTCACATCGTCACACAATAGACTCGTGAGGAATATACGGCCGTGTATAGCATTTGTTTCGTGACATTATTAGAACAACTTTTTTAACATGTGTAATGCTACACAGAAAAAAAAATATTACATTAAAATTGTAATATTTAATAATATTAATGCATTGAATTATATATTTTTTTATAAAAGTTTACTATATGTGTTGTACTTGTTAAAAACTACTAAAATATGTGTTCAGAATATATAATATTTAAACTTTTATAATTTCTTTTAATCTCCATGCTTTTTAAATTATTAATTTTAGTCTTTAATAATTGTTAAATGTTTTGAAGTCAATTGCGAGTGGAAAAAGTTTCATATTTAATGATGATGAACATAATTAACCAACCGGTATATAATGAAAAGACAAAATCTAATACCTTTAAGTTTTTGTATTAGATGTAATATCTAAGTTTTCTTATATGATTTACTTATAATTTTATGGAACTTTATCTTAATGTTTTAAGTCTCCCTTGTATGTTCTAGAAATTATATTAATATTGCTAGTTTGTTTAAGTGACTCGTTAATAAAAAAAATCTCTCTTAATGTTTTAAGTATCCTTTGTATGCTCTAAAAATGCTATCAAAATTGTTAGTTTGTTTAAGTGACTCGTTGATATAAATCTCTCCTAATGTTTTAAGATAAGGGTATATCTTTTATGTATATTAAAAGTTTGCAATTTTTTCAAAAAAAATTATAAAGGTAAGGAATTGCAAATTTACTCATACAAAAAAACTTAGATGAGTTGTTTTGTAATTTTTTTAATTTAAAATTATAAAGTAATAAAAATATATTGGATATTTATGAACAAGGGCAAGAAATGTTGAACCGTGTAAAGTTGAGTGTTTTTTTTAATTTATTATTTATTTATTTTCATGAAAGAGAAATGATATAGTAATATACTATTAGTTATTGACTATATATTATTAAAAATTATATAAAATTCACTTTCTCACTCTAAATTTAATAACTTATTTTTGTACTTTTATTATTTGTAATAAATTTCAATCATTTTAAAAATTTATTATAAAGTGTCTTCGTAATATTAAAAAAAAGAACACACACACAAGGATAAAGAACAAAAACTAATAATTTGGAAAAATATAAAGACTAAAATAAAATGTAATTAAAACTAAAATCAAGATAGAGCATATTTCTAGGGACCAAAGTATCTCTAACCTTTACATTATTAATCAACAATTTTTTTTATGTATGTTAAAGAACACGTATTAAAATGTTAAAAATAAACTTTTTATTAAAATATTTGTTTTCTCAAGATCATAAAAAACACTCAATAATATTTTTCAACGATAATTTAAAACATTTAATAAAGTATATTTAATTATTTTTAACATGTACTCTTGTTGAACACACCTTAAAGAAAACCAATTAATCAAATCGCAGATTAACGGTAGCGAAGGGCGTTTGCAATTGCAGCTTCGTAAATATTTATAGAAGGCGAAGCCCAAAAAGAAAGAAAGAAAAGATCACTGAAAGAGTTGAAGGCTTGGCATATCTATTGGGCCTAGAAGCAAAAAAAAAATGGAACACGAAACAATGGGCCTTGAACTGGGAACGCAAAGTAGAAGGGCAAATTAGGAATTATAAAAAAATGGAGATAGATAAACTGGTAAGGGACGAGTGTTAGGGAGAGAACAGAGGAGTGGAGAGAAGAGAAGGGAAGACGATGTGGGTGTCAACAAGCATATTGGGGTCACGAGTGGTGATGGCGCCACAATCTTCAATTCCAAGAATAAGTGAGAGTGGATTGACGATCGTGTGTTCTTCGAGGCCGAAAAAGAAGGCAACATCGCATCACATGAAGACGAGACCACGCAAGACGCAACCATGGGATATAAATCGCAAACCTACCGTCTACTCTCCATTGCCTCCTCTTCCTCCTGATTGGACCGTTGTTATTCCCGCCGATGATTCATCCGTTGCCGTTACTGCTCCACCTTCCTCTCCCTCTACTTAGCCACTCGGTACTCTCTTCTTTTTCATCAAGCCTAATGCTACTCTTTCCCTATTTAGGTTTCGTTTATCAATTGCTTCCTCTGCTTATGTTTTTCTGTTTACCTCTCTAAAACCTTCTTTGTACTAATTCGCTACTTATATATTTTCGATTAAGCTTTGTCATTTCTTGCCTGCGTTATGATTATTGCGCAAACTACATCGTTATGTGATTGTGAATTCGGTTAAGAATACACTTGTCCTCAAACACCCACACACTTTTTAATTTTCTTACGAAATTACAAACGGAAATATCATAATAATTAAACAAAGAGTTATATTGATTTTACATTTTGGTTTCTAAAACTTTTCATTTTTCCGAATGTGTATGGTAATAATAATATACTTGTATTAGGTGTCGTGTCTACGCCAAATTTAGATGTTAATATTGAGATTAAAATTAGGAATGTGATGAATTTTATCCTCTCTAGTTACCGCCTTATTTCTCCCAATTGATGTCTGAAAGGGGATAAAAACTTCAAATCTAATTTTAGAGTGATTTTAGTTGTTAATTGAAAAAAATATTTTTAATAAATAAAGTTTTTATTAAAAAAGTAATAAATATATTTTTATTTTAAAGTGATAATTAATTTAAAATAAATAAAAGGGACTCAAATGGTATTTAAGTAGAAAACCAATAGAGGATGACTTATCATATCATATGAGACGACCTTCCCCTGTATCTGCAATAAATTCTACTATTTTTTGTTTTTTGGTCGAGGGGGAGGGGCTAGAGATTGGGGGAAGAATATGGGTGTGTTTTTTTTGCACGTAACAGAATTTAAACCCTGTTTTTTTTTAAGGTACATATCCCTCTAGCTTGCCACTAAGCTGCGAAGGGAGGGTTTCTAGCTTTTATGAACTTTGCAAGACGTGAAACCCAATTGGGCCGTCTATCGTCTTGACAGCTCACGCTCAACCCAAAGAAAACATGCTTCGTTCCCCAACGTATTTATCTGTCACGTTGTCGTAGGAAGAAGCTTTAACGGTTACTTGTCCTACATTTTTTAGTTTTTTTGGATTTTTGTTCATTGTTCTGATATAGAATAAATTGTAAGCATTTTATTTATTAAATATTAATGGGAAAACTTTATGTATGATTTATCATTTTTCTTTAAAAATATTCTTATTTTTAATCACCCATGTGTTTGAATTAAGCATTTTTTTAATGAATTTAAAATTTTAAGAAATTCAATTGCTTACGAATGGGTCGTTAGTTCAACTCTTCAAACAAGATTACTTGTAAAAGATAGTTGTAGTTCTGAAAAAATTACCTGAATTATAAAAAAATATTGTTTGAATATATTTTCTGTCCATCACCAAACCCTCCACCATCAACAAGAACTGTTTACCACGATATTTTGCGTGTCTTGTGGCTTCCTTGGGCATTATGTAACCTACTGCTACCTAGGAAACCCTTGTTTGTGTCAGTTTAAATAAAAATACCCGCTAAGACCAAAAAATATAAACAGTCACTAGCTAATGCTAGGATTTATGGGATGGGTATACCATTTTTAAGTCAAAGATCAGAGTGAGATGATGTTAGGACCATGCGTTATGTACCAAAACCATCAAGTCCAATAGTGGTATGCGAGTGAAGAATCTACATTTGTTACTGAACTAGAATTAGGGCAGAACATCATCTTCCCTTCCCAGCTGTTTTAATGCGTATTTGTATTCATGTTTGAATAACTATGAATCTACAATGACATAACCAGAAATGCGATATTTTTAATACAATTTTAACTATTAACTAAAATTTATAAAAAATTATAAAAATATAAAAAATATTAAATTAGAATTGAGAAAAAGTAGAAGTCACGTTAACTATGTTAGAAAATATGTTAGTTTGTTTCGAAACTTAGCACAACTGACGCAGTCATAACAGAAAAAAAAATTTCAGGGTCCACGAGTCAAAACATCAATTACAGCATGTTGTGAACAAGAGAACTGAACTACCATCCAACACATAACAAAGAAAATTGGTAACCTAGGACAGCAGCAAGAAGATAGATCCAAAACAATGCAAGAAAGTTTTGAAAAGGAGAAATCTTACTAACATACTTTAACATAATTTATAGTTATTAGTTAAAGCTAATAAACATTAAAAAAATAATGTTCTTATTGTTTTTTACGTTTAATTTAGCTTTTCTCTCCAATATTTTTTAACTTTAAACAAAATTTAATTAATAACTATAAATATATTAAAAAAACATATTTTTAATATTCTTTAAAAATAAGTCAATTTATTTTACCAAAAAAAGAAACCATTAAAATAAGTTGAATATAGAAGTCCTAAGAATAGAGAATTATTTTCAGTTTATTTTAACATATTAAATAAACATAATAAGAGCTCATATAATAACATTAAAAAATATAGTTTTGAATAAAAATTATTGTTATAAATCATTGAACACATTAAAAAATAATTAATTTCATTTCATTTAAATTAATCGTTAATCTAGATGAAAATATTATAACAATTTGTTAAGTTAAAATGAATTATATTTGTTTAATATATGAAAATAAAAGGTGTAATTGAGTAAAAATATAAAGTAACAACTTAAAAAATGAAGGTTATAATAGACTTTATCTTTCTCTACGACACAGTAATTTTATTGGGATATCCCGGATAGTTTGATACAAGCCGAACAGATAAAGTTCGATCAAGAAAGAGCGCATTTATTTTAAATACAAAATGTTACTTGAAGAGAAAACAAAAATACTTTAACGCATTGCACAAATATCATTTCATAACTTTCAAACATTTTACTGTATAATTTTACCACTTAAAATGGAGGGCTAAAAATTACGGTTAAGGCAGACAGACATGTTTTGACCCAAAAAAAGACAGACAATGAGACGCATACGTAAAACAGGCAGGAGCAAGGGGTTCCGGCGGTTATTCGGCATGCTGATGAGATCATTTGTAAACAAAATACAAAAAAGTGTGCTTTGATGAAAATCTGCATTAGATTCCTACTGTCAAGAATTTATACCTATATACAGCAAAGAACGGTCAGTATCCATCAACTGATCAAACATTATCAACATTCATGGTCAACAGCACCCCTCGGTGCGAAGACAAATCCTTCAAATACAACACTGCAGGTATTGACACCTTCGGTCATCAAGCTACCCGCCGGAATTTCAGGATTTGGCTAATGCAACAACATTCATTACTTTGGAAAGGCAGCAGAAAGTTCCTCTGTACAGGTCCAAGTTTCCAAAACACAATCTATTTAAAGTTCTTCCTGGCACTTCCACCATATATAGAGCAAAACTGCCAAAATTAAGAGCACTGATGATTTCTAAAGATACTACCTACAGCCATAATTTGAAGCTTCAAACCAAATGAGAGGCAGACATGCTTACATTAAGAGGACTCCATAAATCAAAGGGCTGGAAAGAATTAATTTAGCCAGATTTTTTCTTATACTTCCCCTGCCCCAAGCTCAAAAGGAAGTCTGTAAATATGTGTTCATATTCTGGCATTTTGCCATATCCTGCAGCATATTTAAACTATTTTAAGACCAATAAAAATGTTTTGAACGGTAAAAGGCAACTCTTTAATATTCTCACGAAATTGAGAGTACAAACACTTTGTCAAAAAAAGAAAGTCATAAAAATGTCAGATAGGAAAATCAGATGATTATAATTAAACTCGTTATAATATCAAAAGAAATTATTATAGATAAACTCTGACATGTTCTTTTCAACACTTTTTATCATTAGGTTCAGTCTGATTTGGGCCTACTAAACACTTAGGGCATACTCTATTAGTGGGGGTATGAGATTTCATATAATTAAAGAATATGTCTAAAAAGTGTGAATTTAAGTTACCATCTAAGATAAAATAGTAAACAGCAAGATCTTCTATATGAAGAAAGATCTTCTCTTACCGGGGAAGTAGTTTATGTCAATGACGTAAAAATGATCTCTTGTTCCATACTCGCGAATAATATCCAAGTTGAATAGACGAAGACCCTGGAAAATAAGAATAATGACAAACTAATTATAGTCACTGTATTTTGAAGCATGAAGCCATTGAGCAAAAAAATTGAGCAAATTACCAATCGCCATCGAAGTTCCTTAGCCAGTTTCTCTAGTAAAGGTCTTGGAGGAAGCTCTGCAGGGAGAAAAATGATGAAGAAAATCAGGAGACTAGCAAATGCAGTGCAGTTATGAACACTTTCAAGACTGCAGCAGCATATATATTTCTTTATCTGGATACCTGCGCCCTTACTCCAGACCCTTTCTATATCCATCCAAAAATGTGGATGTACTAGTAACCTAACAAGTCAGTTGACTTAGATTTCCAATAGCCAGATTCAGATCACCACCCAACCCAATATTAGGCCAGACAAATATTGAATTTTATAATCAAATAGATTATAAAACAGCATTTTCTTCAAAATAAATTGACATGATAGTATGAGAATTATGGCATCAAACTAAAATGCTTTTCGATGAGAGGTTATCAACCCAAGAGAACAAACCAGGACTTAATTTCTAAGGAGTTGTTTTTTTCCCTTCTTTAGGGTGGAGATTGTGAAGACCAGTTTAAGTTTGTAATAGTAAAGATCTATAGAAAGCTTTTGGTCCAGAAGCCATGATAACTTACCAGCAACAGTAGGGTCCAGATCTGCATCATCTGCAGAAGCTGCAGCACAAGAAACCCTTGGAAAATTATATATGCCAGCATCTTTGGAGAGTTCCCACTTGCTAACATCAGGTAATGAAAACCGTCTAACTACCTTTATAGCATCACCAACTATATAAACCTTAAAGAGAACACCCCCTACACCAAAATGAAAAAAGCATGTGTTATTCACTTTTTTTTTTCATAATGAATGGCCTTCTAGTCATTTAAGAGTGAAAAATTGCTCAATAAACATCAATTGCTTACCATGGTTGACAAACTCCTGAAGAACAAGAGGAGGTTCAAGTTTTTGAAGGGAGTATTGCTCATAAGCAAGTGATAATTCATGGGATTTTGCACTTCCATCAGCAACAAGTGGCTTTGCAACTAAAATGATTTTGAAGTTGCAACAAAAGAAGGAAAGTCCAAATTAAGCACCAAAAAATTAAGTAACAAGTAATCTGATCAGACACAAAAAAGATAGGATTACCATGCCTATTTTCATTAGTTCTAATGACTTTGCCTCAAAAACACAACCCTCGTAACAATAAATGTCCATGCGCCCATGCTCTGAGAAATCGCATAACTGCAGCATCTAAAAGTAGTTGAAAAACCAACATATACATACCAAGGGGTAAAGTCAAGCCAGCTCTGTTGACCAACTCTGGGATGGCTAATGCATCTCTCTTGATAACTAATTGCCGAGGAACATCAACTATGCCTGCGTGGATATTTAGTATGAGAAAATTCATTAGCCGTTGACTCAAATTACCAAGAATACAGCATCACTGAAAAGAAATTTCCATCTAGCCAAAATTTATAATCAAGGTGAAGAGAGAAAAATTACCATAGGCATCAGAAAGATTCATATCTGCAACAGCCTGAAGCATATACTGACGGTTGCGTAAATGTTGTATGGCATCCGGAGGATCCAGAACAGTAACTTCTGGGTGTGACTGCCTATATTCCTAAAATACATTCAGAAGTTAAGAGATAAGAAGATAGGTCATTGCTTCTCTAAATACTATTTTAAAAAAATGCAACAGCCAAACATAAGAAATCAACATTGTCTTTTTCCAAAAGAATTCTCAGAATATTTATTCATCTCGAAAGAATCCTTACTTCAGTTCACATTTTCTGCTAAACTCAAACAAGAAACTTTGATGTTCCCTTCAGTAAACACTAGAATGTGACAACTAAGATTCCAAGGCAGAAGAGAGCATAGCAGAAATTTGATTAAACTCTCATTCATACAAGTATGAAAGCTTAACCTTAATTAATGATCAACCAATAATCATGAAAATAGTGAGTTCAACAAATTATTCACAAGGCATTACAGAATAAATTTATAATTCATTTTAACTTTTAATTTCACAGAGATATCAGGAAAATGGATCTAAAGCAAAATGATAGAAGATGTATTTGCAACAAAATCCCTAAAATTGAAAATGCAATGCAAAACGCTTGCATCAGTCTTCTGATTAAACATAAATTTTCCATTTTTTGTGGGTATAATGTTGAAATTTCAACATAAAAGACAGATACAGAAGAATTTATTTACTAATAATATAGATGAAAGCATAGTACATGAAATAGGTATTATTACAGCTTAGGAAATTTTTATGAAAGAATGTCAGACATGCATGTAAATACAGTACAGAGTGAGGGCATCAACCAGGTAGCAAATATGGGTTAATAAAGGCATGTGATAGTCACCGCAATTTGTGCCCAGTCAACCAGTCCATTGATCAGACAAGTGAGGGGAGCAACTCGCATAATACTATACATACTTGACCACTATAACATCCATATCTAGTTTAGAAGTATAGCAAACACTACAGCACAGAGAGTTGGAAAATGAGAATGGAACTTATAGGGCATCTATCTCTCTTAAACCACCAGAAGGGTACCGTTGCACTCAGAAGAAATGACCTGCCCAAAAGAATTTATAAGGGGGGGGAAAAAACCTTTTGAAAAAATTCGTCATATAAAACCTGACAAAATCAGCTAGATGGCCCTGAAAGAAGTGACATCCTCACTTGCGGGAACCTTGAGGCCTCGACCTCACATACTGGTTCATGATTCATAGTGAGAGATAGGGACAATTACTCTGCAAATTATGTCAGACAGGAAGTTAAAAAAGCTAGTCGTTGACCAGCCTTTCCAGCGTTTTCTTACCCCATCCCAATTAGCATCAAATACAAGAGGAAGAAATAAAAGCATAATTATCATTCTTGTCCAACACAATAAAAGCACGTGCTGGAAAAAGATAAAACCAACCTCAAGAACCTGGCGCCACTCTTTTCCTGATAACTGCATTTTCCAAGAAACAAAATGGAAAAACTAGTCAGAACAAATTATCATGAAAGGATGTGATATGGAACTGGAAAAAGTTATCGCAACATGTTGAATCTAAAAGAAAAGAAGATTCAGGATAGGAAAAAGCATATAACCTTATGCAACACAATATCAAAAGGACCTTGATCTGAAAGAGGCCTATTATGGTCGATAGCTACGAATAGTATCCCCTTGTTCCTGTGCGCGAATTTGTAGAAATTGTAATCAGTGACCCACCAAGTTAAAACACAGTACATAGTTACGAAGTAAAAATTATTAATCCATGTATTCAGAATTTGTACTTCTTTTAACAAATCTACACGATTTCATGACTAACTAAGAACCCGAAGGAGGTAATTTCTTTTTACTTTTTCAGAAAGAACACGGTTATTTACAATATTTCCCGTGAAACAAACAAAAATTCTAAAAATATCTTCTCATTACGAGCGAATACTCCGAGGATCACAAATTTTCTTTTCACTTTCTCGCCAACCTAGCGAAAACGACGCATGTTGGAAAAACCTTATTAGTTGAAAAGAACCACACATTGAAGGCCACTTTTGGAAGAAGAAAGAAGGATTTAAGTTAATTTTAGTTTTATCTGTTGAATTTTAAAAAGGAAATCGCAACAAGGTATATCGAATTAACGGTATTTGTTGGCGATATTTATATAAAAAAATGTTCAGTTTACCTAGCTAAACCTTCAAGCTTAGGCTGCAAAAAACTCTTAATCTTTTTAGTAGTGAGAGCATAACCAACGACAACGAGTCTCTTAGGCGAAGAAAATCCAGCATTCACCACAGGACACCATTGATTTTGTGGCACAGTTACGTCCTCTATTACTTCCTCTTTCTCAATACCTTCATCGTTCCTACAAGGTACGTCCTCCCTCAACCTCATGGTGAAACCTAACTCCCTAGACCTAACCCTAACCCTAACCCTAACGAAGTTTCTCGAGAACGAAGAAAGAAAGAGTAAGAGAGAGGCGAAATGAGAGGGAATTGTTTGGCGGAGAAAGAAAAAAAGTGATGGAATTGCAGGGAACGGAAGACTGGGAGTGAATGAAATGAGGAGGGACCGCATAAGGGGTATATATATAGGCGAAGAGAGAGGAATTGTGTGATGCTGAGCTGTAGAGAACTGATGATAGTACTTCCCGTATTTCATTTAAATTTCATCATTCCACGCGTTAGAATCACGCTGCACTTCTTTGCGAGTGCTGCACTGTGCGCGTTTTGGATTGAGATTATGACTCACTTAGAATAAGTTTTCCAGATTATCACTTTCATTTCATTCCTATTTATTTCAGCTTTTTAAGTATATTTTCTTTTCAAACCTTTTTTTAAGATATACTAAATTAATACAAATTCTATTATTAGTCTCTTTTTTATCTTTTAAAATTTCATAGTTTTTTAACCCAAAAAAAAAATTTTAATTTAATTCTAATTTTATATTAGTATTTTATTACAATTTTTATGTTCACTGTTTTAATACTGTAAAAAATATATGTTCATTAAATTCTAATCTCTATTTAATCATGTTAAAACACAGGGACGAAAGCATGACAAATGATTTATATAAAGATTAAAATATAACTTTTTTACGTAATAATTAATTTATAAATTACCATCGATCATCAAATGTTTTATTTTAACTTGATTTTTCAAAAAAAATCCAACCAAAACACCTCTTTATAGTAAAAAAAATAAATAGTTGATTGGCTTATATGGTATTTAACTGCCTTGTAAAACACGTTAATTTCATTTAATATATAACAAACTAATTTAATTATTTAATATAAATAATTTTGAAATAAAAGATAAATTTGTAATATATAATTATTTTTTATTAACATTAATAAATTAAATATTAATTTGTATATACAGTGGCAGAGCTACTAATAAATTTGAAAAGACCGTAAGAAATTTTATGTACCAAAAAAATTGCATCTACATTTCAGAGGATCTTCATCCGCAAAACGTATGTATGGCTCAAGGCTCTCCGAATTTCAATTCCCAGATTTTGGCTTGTATCGGCAGATTTGGACATACGTGTGTAAATTTAATAAATAAATATCTTATTGCTTTTTCTCCTTTCTAGTTACCGTCTATAACATTTTCTTCCAGAAAAACAGGGGATGATTCAACGTAAATTCAGACCTCGTTTAAAACTCCTAGTCAAGCAGGGAACGTACGCAGAATGTTTGGAACGAATATGATAATTTCATATGGAAAAGAAAATTCCCTGTGCAAATTAAATGTATTTACGGCGTAAACATTTTTTATATGATTTTAAATATTACAAGAGAATTATTAATTTTAAAAAAACCTAAAATGTATTACGTAATTACTTTTTATTTTAATAGTTTTATAAATAAAAAAGTAAACAGTATGTATTATTAATAATCTTTTATCATATTTAAGAATGAATCTGATAAAATAACGATGAAGAGAATAATTTATAAACACAAATAAGGCTCAAATTCACGTACAAGTTAATATTTTTAAGAGGGATAGAAACAAGTCAGAGTATCCATCCAGAGCTTACTATTGTTAATAGAGATGAACATAGGTAATGTTAATATACTTAAAATCTAAACTTAATTTTAGTTTTTTAAATGATTTAATTAATTAAATAAGTCGTATTTGAATTTGAGAAAAATTTTATTAAATTTAATAAAAATACTTATTTAATACTCATAAAATTTATAATAATATATTAAATAATTTTATATAAAAATTAAAATAAATTAAAATTTTAAATAAATAAAATCTTAAATTAAAAATATAATCTTTTTATAAAAAATGAAGTTGACATTTTTTAGAGTCGTTTGCCTAATTGTTGTTTGATATATCTATATATTTATGTTTGTGATATGTTTAATGATTTATTTATTTAAATTAAATATATATTTTAAAAATAAAACAAAAATATATAATTTTATCATAAATATTAAAAATATTAAATTACCTTTTTATAACTTATTTAGATATAATTGTTATATTCTTTATAAAGATATATATATATATATATATATTTTAAATGGTTAAATGATTTACTTATAAAAAAATTAATAGCTTATTACAAATTTTAATATAAAATAGCTCGTTAAAAAAAGTTCTTAAACTAAATCAAATTTTAAAAAAAGTCATATTAAATCTAACAAAAAATTTACAAAAAGTTCACAATATTTAATAAATTAAATTTAAGTTTTGAAATTATTAAATAAGTTAAACTTATTTACATTCTTAATTGTCAAAAATGTGTTAATTTTTATAATATATTTTTAAAATTTTATTATCTAATTAGTTGATGATATACAAAAAGTTGTATTTAGTAATTTACTCCAACTACATTAATATTAATTAATAATTTTATCTTACAATGCACTATTTATATGGATGTTATTAAATTTAAATACAGTCTTAAATACAAAATATTATATAATATATTTTTAATTTTAATTTTTTATTATTTATAATAAATATTTAATTTAAAGTTTAAATTAATTTCAAATACAAAAAATTCACATTAAATAAAAAGAAAATAAATCTTATTTAAAATAATTTCCTAACAATTTTTTATTTTAAAATAAAAATTTACATTTAATGTATAAAAATAGACGTTTACAGTAACTTTCTATCAATTTTTTATTTAAGTTTCCTCACATAACCGATCATCCATCTAAAAATTCAACTAGTTTTTATCAATAAATATTTAAATTTATCCCGTGTGAACTTTTAAAGTTTTTTCGGAAAGTTGATAAAAGATAATATATTTTTTAAAATATAAGTTGAACAACACATGTTTAATATCTCTTATTTATTGAGTGTTGTTTAATTCATAATCTAAAATATATATATAGAATATAAGTATTTGTCATAACCAGTCAAATAATTAGAGATGTTTGATTTCTCTTCTAAAATTTTTATATTTTTAAAAATAAAATTTAATATAAATTTATGTTAAATTTAATTTTTAAAAACAAAAAAGTATTTTTAGAAAGGAAATCAAACATACTCTTAGTTTCTATCCTTATTTTCAAAAAAAAAATATTTTTAAATAAAGAGATACATATTGAAATATTAAAACTAAAATAATTATATTTAAAGTTTGTAATTTTAAAATGAATATTTAAGATTTAATTTCATAATTTATTATGCATATATTTTATCTTAAGTTTAATTATAATTATACTTTCATCCCTCAACAGGAGCCAACTAAATAAAATCACATTTTTAACGAATCAGTCAAAACATCAAACAATAGAAAATATATTACTGCGCAATATATATTCTTCCGTACTTTTCACATATGTATTGAGAATAAATTGATCAACTAATTATGCAAAAAAGAAAGTCCATTTATAATTAAATAATAAAATTTACAGAAATATAATATTATGTGCATATATTATTATTCCAGGAATGATCACTAAAAACGGAATAAGATAAACCAAAAACATGGGAGATTCCCTGTGTTCTTTATCCAAAAAAAAAAAAAAAAACCCAAGCATAAGCATATTTATCCATAATGGAATGTTCTGCACCAATATTAGTTGACTTCGGCTGTCAGAAAAAAAAAAAAGTCCTAGATAAATATTTGTATTACAAAATCATAAAAAAACTAAAAAGATAAAAAAAAAAAAAGTTTCTATTTACATCGTAAAATAGTCTACAAAATTTAAGAACAATTTTAAATTATAAAAACCAAGCATCCTTATTGGTGAAAACTTTAACTTTTAAATATATTTATTTTAGATGATTTATACATAAAAAATTACAACTGCACGTATGCAAACAAAAACCTATATATGCATAGAAAATAAATTTAAGCATTTATTTATGCTAATTTGTGATGTTGAATTAAATCTTTCAATACTGTCGATTTGAATAAAATTATTTTCAGAAAAAAATACATGTAGTTTAAATAAAATAAACAAATCAATTAACATATTTAAGCATTTTTTTCTATTTTCAGTGATAACTAAATATATATTTTTTGAATTTTATATCAAGTCTTGTTCTCTCTTTATAATACATCAAAACAAAACAAACTTCGTAAATTACGTTGACACACTGACTAATGTCCTATATGCTATCGATATATTGTCTTATTGTCTTTGATTATTGTGCACTATTTTAAAAAATATATATTTATTTGAGTTCTTAAAGATACAAGTAGCATGAATTTACACTAAAAAAAATATTAATATTTTTATTCAATTTAAGTTTACATGATTTTACTTTAATCATAGCAAACATTTTATATAATACAAGAATATTTTAAATTCAAGTAAAAAATTTAAAAATAACAATTATGAAAAAAATTATCATTAATGTAAAGGAGATTCTAAAAGTTTATTTAACAATACATTTAAAATTATAAAATACCATATTAAACTCAGCTCAAATTTAAGGAGAACGTATATTAATAATATGATTGCTATTTTATTTTACTATTTTTACTGATCATTATTTTTTAAAATGACTATATTAGATTAAGTGTAACACTTCACTAATCGATCAGATTTGAAATATCAACTAAAGGTGTCATGGAAACTAAAGAATCATACTTAATCATAAAAATTTGGTTAGAAATTTAACAATGAATGTTTGCTTTAGTTTAATTTGTATGATTTTTTAAAATTTATTTACAGATACATAATAAAAAATTATTTATAGTAAAATTATTTTGTTAGTATAAATATATAATATACATACTAAGAATTTAATTTACATTTAAAAAAAACTTATACTAATAAAAGTGAATTTAATATTAAATTGTTCATAAATTACATCTTTGTTTATATTTGTAACCTGTTTTATATTGAGAGTTATACCTTTGAAAAGACAACTTCTGAAATACGAGTTAATTTAAGGGGGAAAATATTTGAAATTAACATGCAAACCAATGAGACGACTATAAAATTCAAACACCAACAGTATATATTAAAATAACTGACAAATAAAAAATGAAAAACTACTATATGTTTGTAATAACTTCCATATTAATTACTGTAAAACAATGCATAATAGATAGATTTTTAAAAAAAGTTAGATA